TATTGACATTTGTAATAACGTATATATATATATATATATATATATTTATATATATATATAAATATATGTATATATGTTTGTGTGTGCGTATGTGTATATATTATATATTTGCATATACACATACGTATATCAAAATGTCAATTTCGATATTGATATCAATATATATATATATATATATATTATTATATATACATATACGTATACGTATACATATAAATATGCATATATATATATATATATATATGTATATAGTTGTGACTGTTTCGCTTTGAAAACTTTGTGCCTTGGATTGTATCGATACTTGCACTCACTAGTTCAACACAGGGGATATCTTCTTGAAGACTAGCTGTGATGATACTACACCCATAAATGTGGCGAATCTCAAATCATGTGTCTTTATATTATTGTAAAAATAGTGTACTAGACTCCACTTACCAGATTTTATGGAATAAGTGAGGACAGTCTGTCATCACACACACTGTCGCACCATTCGAAAGCGGGTCCATGCAAATATTACATTGTTCTGGCTCGCAATCGGTCATGATGACGATATATTGCTCTTTGTATGCTGTTGATCTTTCATATATTTCGCACTCCGTGTATCTGTCCGTTTCCGCGCGTTAGATAGCCGGAGTGAGGATGTCACTGCTGCCGTATAATTGTTGTGTGGGTGCGATTCCATAGTGCTGATTCCCAGGGTCAGCTCAGGACGTCAGAGTACGACCAGGCCAGCACAATTATGCGTATGTATACTTTAATGGTCTTGGTATGCAGTGCTAGTGGGGCATGAATCAGATGTAGTGCGATAGATCCTTAAATATGTTTTATACAATATGTCGAGTGAAGCGAATCTCGACACAAGCTACGGCGAAAGGTGGAATATCCACACAAGATTGGGATGCCGGCGAGAGATACGCTAACAAATATTTATGGTCGTGATAGTAGTGTATATGGCATCTCATTACATGCGCCACGTAGATACAACTACTAACGGTTGAATTATAAAAAAGTACATAATATTTATAATCCTTCTTCTCTTGCTGAGGGATGAGGCTTGTCTGAGAGTTGAGAGGTGAGACTGTCACCGAGTCATCACTGTACAGTCGTACAGATCACTATACAGATTTTTATTATAAATATTCACAAAAAGACACAAATGTGATATGTACTGCCGACGGGATGCAGTTGTGCGCCAAAAAGCCAACCGACATTTCGACCAGTGAAATCCGTTTGCGACATCGACAGACTAAATTCAAATGTCGTAAACTAATCTTGTTGTTTACGTTTAATCCCGAGCTGAATCGACCTGTCAAATTCAGATTGTCAAATCGTTTGGCAGACCTGTGAGAAACTGAGGGCGGCCTGAGCGCTGAGGCCGTGCTGAGGCCGTACCCATTGCAATCAATGGATTCATCAGACATCAGCTATCACATAAAGCTTTCTGTTTATACATGTATCATGCTATAGAGTTGGACACCTACATAAGCAAGAAGCAAGACTGGTAATAATACGGCGTTCGTTAGAGAAATCAGCCATAGTATCTAAAACATCAACGATTCAAATCGTAAAGACGTTAGACGGTGAAATTTGAGCAATTTCAGTTCCTTAGGGAGTGAGCGATTTTCTTCATAAACGCAGAGCATCATGGCGGATACGGCGTATGCGAAGGTACTTATAAATACATATTCTACATACTTTACCGATGTGTGATTCGCAATAATTACTTGCGCATTGTCCAGCAATTAAATCCTGTCTCGTAACGTATCCGGCATTGTTCCCTATTCAGTCCAAGTTTTTAGCGTTGCGACTCAAAGTACTGTATATATTTATTGTATGGACACATGTATACAAACGTGTACACACACACACATATATATATATATATATATATATATATGTATATATATATATATATATATAATATACTATTACTTACTACTATATATAATA